CCAAATTCATAATCCAGAAGATTATACTCAAAGATGAGTGATCCTGATGAATCATATATAAAGTAATTCCAAGGAATTTCAATATACAATAAATGAGGAAAAGTTAAATAGATGTTATATAGTAAACCAGAAGTTTGCTGAATCTAACATAATTTGGCATGAACTGGTTAGACCATTCCAGTTCAAGAATTATGCGAAGTAAAATACAACATGTAAACATTTATTGAAGAACTAGAAGATTCTTCTTAATGATTTCTAATGTGATATTTTATCATAAGAGATTATGATAATACAACAATTATCACTAGCCAAAATAGATTTTGATTCAATTCATTTTCTAGAGAATATACAAGAAACATGTGGTTTAATAACCCATTTTGTGGACTAGTCATCCTCTTAAAGAAATTTCATTGTGTTTTGTAATGCATCAACAAAATAGTTGTATGTATCAATGAAATAAATTTGCAACCTGAAGTTTGCAAGATGACTTAGTAATGCTAGTGAAATCACATCTTAAGTCTATGGTGAAAGAAAAACATGTTTGTAAGAATAAATGTTGAACATCAGTAGAAAATGTTCATCATTGACATAATGCACAAGCATTAACTCGCATAAAGCCAACAAGTAACTAAAAGTTCTCCCCATCAAAATTAGTTTTGGGTCAGAAACCTTTGGATGTGCAACATCCACATTGCTCCACCACAGCAATATAAGATGGATCTTCAAAAGAGATTGTAGATGTTGGATATGAATCTCCATTGATAATATCTAGAGCTATCTGAAGGATTTAAGTAAGGCTCGATTTATAGACTACCATGTTAATGGATAAGTCTTTCCAACATCAGGGGGAGAAAATAAAAGGCTGGAAAGAAAAGTAGTTGAATGAATTATCATTGATCCTCGGACTATAGAATGTGAAATAGAAGTCCAAAAGATAATTCATTCACAAAACTTATTGTATCAGTTGCCAGATACATTTACTGACCCAAATATAGTGATTGAGTCACTTACCAGCTGTAAATGCTCTAATAAGAATTGATGTCCCAGAAGGACAATATCAAGCTGCTAGTGAGTCTAAAGAACGCATGAAGCGTGATAGACTTGTCGGTTCCAAATATTATAATCCTCGAAAAAGTAAAAGAGCATAAATTGACAATGGTCAAACCGAGGAAACAAATATTTTTGAGTGATCTCCAGAAGAGACATTAAACATGACAAATAAGAAATTCAGGTACCTGAGACAATGATGAGATCTCGAGAAATTACTTATGTCATGTATAGAATAAATGGAACCAGAAGCAAATCGACGTCGTAAATAATATATTTGCATGCAATGTAGCAGTTGATATTATGAATGAGAAAGAGGATCATGAAACAAAGTCTATTGCATTGTGTACACAAAGTAATGATTTGGCCAAATCAAAAGAAGCAATAGACACAAAACAAAATCTCTTAGAAAGAGAAAAGTATTTGGACCAGAAGTCCTTTCACCTAAAAAGTGTGAAACAAGTGAGTTATAAATTTGGCATTTGTGCCGAAGAAGAATGAGTATGAAGAGATATACTCTCATGTGGTGGATGCAACTTTCAAGTTCATTAAGTCTGGCAATGAAAGAAGAACTTGACTTATACAACTCACTAAACAATGATATTTATGTAAAAGTCCCTGAAGGATATAATCATTAAAGAATTAATGATATCATTGTTTTATTTCCCGGAAAATATTAGCTACTTAATCAAATGAAAAGAAATTTGATTCATGGATATAATCACGAAAGTGAATATATAAAGCTAACAAATACCCATGTATATTTATAGATCAAAAGAGATCTTTAGTCTAAACATATCGAAATTCCAGAAGAATTGTCGAAATTAGTATCACAAAAGGAGATGGGATAAAAGATTTGGAAAGACAAAGTTGTCTTAAGATATCCCAAATTCCCAAAAATGTTATGGCATGATTTACATAAAAATGCTCACATATATTTGGTCCTGAAGTACCATACTTCAAATGCTATTTGAAAAATATGTTAGTCTCTTCATAATTCAAAATGAGCATGAGATTATATATACAAGATAGATGTTTACAAGAATGTATATAAAAGAGAAAATTTGGCCAGAAGTCCAAATGATTATTTATAGAAAAAGATGTCTAGACTAAAAGTCTAAATGACTTTCATCAAAGTTATACTTATAGTAATCTCCAAAAGATAGTATTGGAATGCATCTCCTGAAGAATATGCTTCCAAGGGGGAGAATATGATGATATGTGTGGTTGTACTCTTTTTCCTTATCATGGTTTTTATCCCATTGGGTTTTTCCATGAAAGGTTTTAATGAGGCAACAAAGAACACACAAATGAGAAACATCTAAAGAAGTCTTGTCATCTATTTATGAGATCAAGTGAAGCAAGGAGATTGATCAAGATGAATCATCTTGATCCATGCACCCAAGAAGAATGGCGATGTCAATGTTCTAAAGACTGTTCAAGTGAAGATTTTAAAGGAGTTTCCATCTGCTATTATCAAGAAGTTCATTCACCTAATCTACACGGATGTTCTCATGAGGGGGAGTAGTTGCGCGCTGTACTCTTTTTCCTTAACTAAGGTTTTTCCCTTTGGGTTTTCCTGGTAAGGTTTTAACGAGGCAGCATCATGCGCACTTAGAAGATATTTTTAGATAATGGACTTCCAAGGGGGAGTGTTATAACTAGTTTATATGGAAGCCCATTATCGGCCCATATTCTAGAATGTTCTAGCTTGTTCTCCAAGTGTACCTCTCTCCAAGGAAAACCCTATATTGTAATCCTATATAAGGACTCATTACTATGGAATAATACACAACCAATTCCTCTCTTCTCTTGTTCTCTCTTCTTACTATAACAAATTCAATGTATTTGGATGTATCAAACTCAAAAAAATACTTATTATTGTCTAGATACATGCAATTATTGTCCACATACATTTACTCCAAATGATACTTATTATGAAACGGATGGAGTATCAAATATGTGAAAAATAATTCTAACGGCTTTATATTCCTGCAATTTTCAAATTATTAATGATCAATATATGATTTTAGTTAAAATATAGATGATTATTGTTAGCGAATAACATCTATATGATATATTTATATGTTTTCTAAAATATTAACTAAAATATGAAACTTAATAAAGTTGATAAAGATATATTTGGGCTTCAATCTTCTTCTTCAACACGCAGGGCCAACAGAGGCCCATTTTAGGATCTATAAACAAAGAATAGGTTAAAGGAGCGTTAGGGCATCGAACAATCAATCTAAACTCATATTAAACTCAAAATAATACTTATTATTGTCTAGATACATCCAATTATTGTCCACATACATTTACTCCAAATGATACTTATTATGAAACGGATGGAGTATCAAATATGTGAAAAATAATTCTAACGGCTTTATATTCCTGCAATTTTCAAATTATTAATGATCAATATATGATTTTAGTTAAAATATAGATGATTATTGTTAGCGAATAATATCTATATGATATATTTATATGTTTTCTAAAATATTAACTAAAATATGAAACTTAATAAAGTTGATAAAGATATATTTGGGCTTCAATCTTCTTCTTCAACACGCAGGCCCAACAGAGGCCCATTTTAGGATCTATCAACGAAGAATAGGTTAAAGGAGCGTTAGGGCACCGAACAATCGATCTAAACTCATCGAATTTGTTGGTAGAAATCGACGGCAGCGCCAAATCTCTTCCTTTACTCCGTGATAAACACAAACTAGGTTTCTCTCACCTTTCTCGATTCGAGTTGAGAGAATCAGCAGCAGTGGTTATTCCATCTGAGCAATTGATAATCCAATTGGATCGACGGAACAGCGAGCTCAGACGGCAAGCTATGACACATCAAGACGGTGAGCTCCAACAATACGGACGGCGAGCTCGATGAACCAGAGACAATAAAATGTCAAAACTAGTAAATTTAGGTGTAGTTTGTCTTGAGGTTAAATGTGTCAATTCTCGTATAAAGTTATGTGTAGTTTTGAAAGAAGTTTTAGTAGGTGTATTTTCGGAAAATGTTCCCCCTTATGAGGTGTATTCCTCAAAATTTCTCAATTTTATATAAATATTTAAATAATTTAATATTTTATATTTTATTACGATATCCAAAAGAATTCATCATAATTTCACATTTTTGCATGTCCAATTAACAAATAAAATTTTATAAGATATTAGCATATGGAGAATAATTTTCAAAGATCATAAATTAAAAGAATGTTGTTAATTTTTTATTAATTTATAACATTTTATAAGATAATAAATTTTCAAAGTCACATTATTATTATAGAGGTTTTAATGTATACAGAAATAAAAAAAGAACATGATATTGAAACATAAAAAATAAGACATGTTGAAGTTAACATAATTATTTTTACTATTGTTTCTTAGTGATTAATCAACATGTTGAAGTTAAAGGATTTGTTTTACCTTGAAAAAGGAACATGATATCGAAACATAAAAATTGACATGTTGAAGTTAACATAATTATTTTTACTATTGTTTCTTAGTGATTAATCAACATGTTGAAGTTAAAGGATTTGTTTTACCTTGAAAAAGGAACATGATATTGAAACATAAAAATCGACATGTTGAAGTTAACATAATTATTTTACTATTGTTTCTTAGTGATTAATCAACATGTTGAAGTTAAAGGATTTGTTTTACCTTGAAGCTCGGATCAAGAAGGTGCATGCTCATGATGGAAAGAATCCAATATATATGTGTGTGTGTGTGTGAGGGAATAATAGGAAACCATTAACTATAATTAAATTAACCTGATAAAACATTCAACATTTAGCGACCATTGTAACAGTAACTCTTATAAAGAGAACTCACAGAAGCAGAACTATGATCTGACAGAAGCAGAACCATGATTCGACAAGATTTAAGCATCGTTCAATCAGGTCTTAGCCAAAAATCGTTACCAGAAAGATATAATCGATCAAACATTAGTTGGATAGGCTATCTGGGACGTACAGGTTCCCAAGGCACTCGTCATCAACGTACTTATTTTCCGCTTGATCATCTCTCAGTTTGGCCTCCTTGTAAGGTTTTGAGCTTCTCAGGTAACCTTGCAAGCTCCTGCAAAACATGATGGAAAGACGAACCACAAGTTTTATAACCAGATTTTGTGTAAGCTAAATATTAATCATTGACCATAAAATATCCTTAAAACGGTCACTTACCTATCTGTTCCTCCAGCAAGATTGGTTCCTGTTTGAGATCAACAATCGAATTTAGCACAGAGATTAGAGAGCATGTGATTTTAAGTTATATTCTGATAGATAAAAGTACCTTGCTTCCTCAAAATAGAGGTCACAACATCACTATCATCATCTGAAGATTTCAACTTAGTTTTTCTCGCTTTCGGTTTTCTGAAAATGGAACCGTTGTAGATTTTCTTCAAAGCTTCATTCTTGTTGTCGACCGTTGTGCCTTTCACATATGCATCGGAAAGATCAACCTTGAAACCACTGTGATCGTTCTTAACCACTGACTGGAAATGACTAGTAACTGAACTAGCTGGCTGAGCTATAGCATTTTTCTCTTTCGGTTTCATAGTGTTCAGTGAACCTTCAACGGAACCGCCGTGATGCAAATCAAGGAGTTTCATCACTTGATTTTGCTTCTTATCAAAACCAGCAATATCTTCGTTTTGGCTAGGACAGAAATTATCTCCAATCTCAGCCTTCTCCTCCAGGATTTGACCAGGAACATAATCTTGGGACTCCACAGTCTTCTCAGAATGTTTCTTTTTATATTTCTTGGTTGAATTTTTCTTGATCTTCTTCAGATTTTCTGCGCCAGAAGCAACCAGACTATCTTCTTTTCCAACGCTCCTTTTTCTTTTATTAGCAACCAGACTATCTTCTTCGCCCGAGTCTTTTGAGGACTTCCTTTTCTTCTCCAAATGATTCACTAGCTTATCAGAATCTAAGACAGATTTCTCACCCTTCACATTTTCTATACAAAATCAGCGACAACATTATGAGAATTATAAAAATCATTTTTCAATATAAAAACATTAAAAACCTTGTAATCAACAGTAAATGAGAACTGACACACTCCAACTAAATGGGACAATAAGAATGAATTCATTCTATAAGAATCAATTGAATCAACAACAAACATTCCCGAGGATAAGTAAACTTAGTATATAAATGAATTTACAAGTTTATCAACGTCTATCAATGTCGGTTGCCTATCTCAATGTCTATAGAACATAAGATATTATAATAAAAGATAGAAATTATATGTTCTTTGATAGTTAAAACATAGGTTATACCTTCTGTCGGTAAAACTGCACAAGATTCTGATTTCGGTGGAGCAACAACAGCTTCAACCTCGTTACTATCATAAGATCGATTAAGATCGTTGACGCGTTTCTCTCCACATTTCTCTCCATCTGACCTTTTCCATTTCCTCTTCCCTGTGGTCTTCTCAGCTACTTGGGTTTCAAGACCTTCTTCAACACTCAGATCCTTGTCATGCACATCTACAAGTGCTGAGTCAGTTCCAATATCTTTATTTCGTTCAGCTAACTCAGGGTTCGAAGACTTTATTTCCTTCTCCACTTTGAAGGCGTCGGCATATAGGTACCAGTTGCGACTAGTCTCCTTAAAAGCTTGACTGACATTCATATGAGCTGATAAGCCGAATAGTTTACCTTGTTTTTTAGTCTGATATATGTACAACGAAAAAGAAAAACCACTTATTAGATGTTGCTAACAAAGAAAACAAAGGTAACCAATAGACATTATGATTACCTTCAACGCAGTAATTTTGATTTCTTCCATTTCTGGGAAAATCTCGTTATGCTCATGGCATAGTTTTTCTACAAATAAACCACAAAATACTGATTAGAAACCATAGAAGACCAAATTACCATCGCTATAAGTTTAGAAGCTGGTTATGCAGAAACTGAGTGACTAAAAGTCGATTATCTTCACAAAATTAGCATACCTAGAAAATCGGAGACCGATTCGTTGTGATTAAGCAGGACAGCGAGACGGGTTTCCAAATTTGTCTCCACATATACGATGTGATTAGCCATAAAAAAAAGGTTAACTATGGAAGCAGACGAGCAAAATACAAGAAGATAAGAAGTGATCCTGGAGAGCAAAAAGAGGTTGTAGCCGTCTAGGGTTTAAGAGGAGGATCTCTTTCTTTCTTTTAAGCAACATAATCTTTATTTATAGGGAAGATTACTAAAATAGAAAAAATGGGTGTAATGACTAGAAAACTCTTTGGTTAGAAGCACACGACTGAAACAAATTATCAAAAACGTCCTCTTAAACCTAAAGACTAAAGAGGAATATTTGGAAGATATTTTGTCATTGATGGTAGATTTATTTTTAGTATACTCCCTAGGAGTAAAAGAAAATGTTGAGAGACTTTTTAATATTTATCTTTTGGAGTGTATTTTTGCAGCGTGTATCACTTTCAAACATCGTATACGTATTCAATACCACTGTTATTACTGTTTCAGTTTTTGAACTTGGCCATGCTCTTGCTGCTGCGAGATTAGTTTCTCAAATGTCCTTTTTAAAAAGCTTTCACCTTGAATTAGGCTTTTTTCCTGTCAATATCCTAGAATTAGGCTCTTTCCCTTTACTCTCAAATTTTAGGCTTTTTTTGATTTAGCGCCAGTGAAGGAACAAATGGAATTTACCATTGAGATTTCTTTGAAGTTAATGCCATTTCACTGCAGCTATATATATGGGTCGCAGTTATTGAGATTTCTTTGAAGTTAAATCTTGTATGTACGGATGTACCTTGATATATATTTCAGGTGAGTGTTGAGCATCATTGTCTGTTTGAAGCTAAGAAAAGTCATGTTTTAAATAATGTAGTAGGATTCAAGCATGTTTACAAATCTGTGGTACATGTAAATAGATATATTTTGAACTACCATTAACTTTTCAGGATACTTAACTCTTCTATGACAATTAAGTGTCCTACATTTCAGAAATTTGTTTGCCCTGTAAATCATTTGATCTATTCGCTAGTGTGTTTCCAAGATCATGGAGGGGGCAATATTGCAATTATTTTTTTCAGCTATGGGTGTAAATATGGAGACAACTCAGTTTTCCAAGCGCCTTTTAAAAGAAAACTAGGGCTTTCACCCGCGCTACACGCATAACTGTATTAAAACTTTTTTAATATATATATTTTGATGAATAATTTAAAAAACAGTAAAAATCAACAATTAAAATTTATCAATCTTTCAATATCAAAATTTTCTGGAATGAATTGTTTTTTTTTAAGATATACCAATATCTTGTTGAGATCAAATCTTGGCAAGCAAAAATATTGTTTATATCAAATCTAATCCCCATAATGAAAATGATTTGGTCAGTCTAATGACAAAAATTACTTGAGTTTATTCAAATCCTCATTTTTTTTCTTTATAAATATTTTTCAAATTACATTTTACATTAACCACTATTTTTCAATTTATTTATTTTATATATATCAAAACATAACACATATATTTGTAGTCCAAATATATACAGTGTCAACATACATGTGTGTTCTGTTGGAAGAATGTTTTATTTGATCCGCATTTTGTAAGTTAGTATACCTAGTAGATTCAACTAAGAACATATATCAAGCAAAAATATTGTTTATATAAAATCTCTATAATGAAGGTGTATTCACCTATATAAATACCAAAAATGATTTGAGGTTGTACAAATTCTCATTTTCTCTTCGATTTCTTTTTACAAATTATATTTTACTTTAACCACTTTTTTAACAAATCATATTTTTTTATTCAAATCAAAACATAACACATATTTTTCAGACAAAATACTCACAATCTCAACTTTACTTTGTTTGAATACTATAACTTTACTTTGTTTGAATCCATGTATGTACGTATGTTGATCTCGTTTTCTCACTTATGTACCTTCCATGGCGGTGAAAGAGGATCTGGGGGAGAACTGAAGTTCATGTTTTTTAATAAATGTAACTAAGATATCTAGTACGTTACTGATCTAAACGAGTTCGCCCTAATTTAAAACGCTCTTTGACACTACTCCCAAGACAGCCGCCGGCCTCCGCTCAGCTCCGATTTCGCGATGAAGCTTCCTTACCGGAGTTTTACCCGCCTGAAATCGGAGCTCCGCTCTCTCTTTCCCGGACTCCGCTTTGGTGCCCGATGACTCTTCTTCTATTTTCGTGCTCTTTGACACTACTCTCCATTGCCGGCAAGATCGTGTCATTCTTCTCGTTCGTTGCTTCTCGGCTGCTCTGTTTCGCCGCCAATGGTTTTCGCAAGGAGATCTGTGGAGCTCGTGAGGACAGAGCATTCGTCTCCTTCCTTCACCGTTCCGGCGTCAATGGTACAGACGACGAAGCTTTCTCACCTCCGGGTGAGTACCCCTCCGGCCAGGCCGAAGCCTCCGCTGAAACCTCCAGATCCACCGGATCTGCAACCTTACTTTCAAGCTCTGGCTTATTTCCCGTTTCTCGACCCTAGGTTACTCTTTCAACCTCCGCCAGCGAGTCGTGTACTTCTCCGCCACTTCTCCGCCTCACCACCTTTCTCTGCCGCGGCGAGATCCCTTTCGAAAAATACTTCCCGACGCCAACCGAAATGGAATTTCAATCTCCGCCGTCACAAAGCGTATCCTCGTGGATCGGGAAGATCAGATCGTGATTTATTTTGTTCATCTGAGAACCACCGTGATCTCGATGTTCAGGCGAGAGGAAGAAAAGACTGTTCAAGCGATCTCACTATGAAAATAAACTGATCCCTTGTCTGAGAACCACCGTGAGGCAGAGGGATCGCCATGTCTGAGACCATTATTCAAGGGCCACTGCTCCTCTCAATTATTATTTCGCCAAAAAAAAATTATAACACAAAAATTGGAGTTATTTGACCGATTAGGCGAACAATTAATCTCCTACATTTTCTTCATATTCTCTTCTACGTTTTAATTCCAACGCCTTTTTCCCAATGTCATTCAGATCATCAATGTCAATCGAATAAATTGAGTCGTAGGAAATGCTTTAGATCCTTGCTTCGTTAGTAATCGGCAACATTGCCGACGAAACTCTTTCGACAGGTTGATTTTCGTTGGCGATTCTAATCCCTGGCGTCATTGTTTTGGTGGTTATATCTTTGTGGTATACAACTATACATTTTCTTAATTCCAATTGAAATGATCTACTGTTTTTACTCTGTGATTTTCTTGGTGGGGTTTCTGGTAATGTTTCTTCTGGAGATTAGTGGAACTGATTCTGGAATGAAACGTATTGCTTTGTGGAAGGACATAAATTTGCTAGCCACATGATGATTAGTGAGATCATATAATAAAATCAGATGATTTGGCCTTTAGTTTATGTTAAAGGAGGAACATAGTCTCATTGTCACAAGGTTATTGTTTTGTTACATTGGATTGTATGAATAATTCTTTTGCTTTACTGTGAAGTCAGCGTCTCCTGTTGTGAAACATTCTTTTATATCTTTGGAAAATTTAAAGAAGACTGGTCATGTTAATATTTTCTCTGAATGTGTCTTTGCAGATTGGATACAGTTTCTGGTGATTCATTTACTCTGAGTTTTGGTTAAAGATAATATCAGAAGGAAGTATTTTGAGAATGTCGACAGTTGAAAATTCGACAAACATATTCTGGCAAGAATCACCTATTGGAAAAAACTGAAAGGCAGAAGTTGATTAACCAGAAGGGTTGTGTTGTGTGGATCATAGGGCACAGTGGCTCAGGTCAATCTTCTAAACAGTCTTAAACCTTCCTCCATGAATGTCTATAAAGTTCTCATGATGTTACAAGTCTCCCTGTGCAGGGAAAAGCACGCTGGCTTGCTCGCTAAGTAGAGATTTGTACACCCAAGGAAATCTATCATGTATTCTTGATGGTGATAACCTTCGTCATATATTCTCTGCTTTTATGTTTCTTCACTTAACTGAAAAAGTGCAAATCCAAAAGAAGTTTGGATTGTAAACACATATAGCTTTCTTCTGAAATTTATTACCTTCTGAAATTTTGTTGTTGTGTAGCAGAGACCATTTGTGCAGCGCGAATGAAAGTAACGGTGATAAGAAGAAATCAGATTGGCTTAGATCTGTTAAGTTATGGAATCAGTAGCCGTATCGGCAGGACAAAGAGGTAAACTAATTTAACCGAGAATATTCGAATCGGAAAAATGCAAATCTGAGGAGCCTTAAATTTAAAAAAAATCTTATTTGTTTATGTTGTAGAATCAATAAAATCAGACGACGATGGCGGTGGATGTCAAACGATATGGCGGCGTGTGTTTCAGCCGTTTCAAAAGAATAAGGCCGTGGTTGCGGCCAAGTTTGATTCTCAACCGCTAGAGGCAATCACTCCAACGCCAACGATGTCGAGCTCTACGGAGGAAACCGGGGGAAACCAATGAGAGTCAAAGCAGCAGAAACAATCGCAAATGCTTAGGAAGCAAAGACGTTGCTGGTCGCTGGAGTTACACCGGAGATTCTTGCATGACATGATACGATTATTAAAGTTCATAAAAATTACCAAGCTTTTTTATATTTAATGAGATAACTGGATTTGGTTAATTTTCGTTTTCGATCTTCTTATGGTGCGTGTACGTCACCGACATTAGTCTTGTCGTCTTCAGCCAGCGAAACACGCAACATTTGTTCCCCGCACAGCTGGAAGATACTCAGTGAAGTTGTTTAGGAAGGCTCAATGCCCAACTGAGAGGCTCACGAACTCTCTCATGATGAACGGAAGGAACAACTGTAAGATGTTGATGGCTGTTGGGATCATCAAACACGCCATGGAGATCATCCATCTCTTGGCTGACTTGAACCCAATTCAGGTCATCATTGACGATATCGTTAACAGGTAAAATTAAAACTGTAATACTTAAAAAACTGTAATTTCTTGCTAGCTATTGTGAAGCTTTTGCGAATGATATTTTTTTTTCTAGGGTGAGCCAGTGGTCCACGTGAAGATGCTACCAGAATTGGATCTGCTGGTGTGGTGAGGAGGCAGGCCGTTGATATCTCTCCTCTAAGACGTGTGAACCAAGCCATCTTCGTGCTCACCATTGGGGCACGTGAAGCTGCTTTCAGAAACATCAAGACTATTTCTGAGTGCCTTGCTGATGAACTCATCAATGCTCTCAAGGGATCTTCCAACAGGTTAAAACCCAACACTTTCTCTCTAAATTGGTTTCTCTCTTATTGGCTTCACATTTGTGTGAGTTTGTGTACCTGATAAAAGCATTAATGTCTTCTCTTATAGCTATGCCATGAATAAAAAAGATGAGATTGAGTTGCCAAAGCCAATCGATAATGAGGTATCTTTCTTTGCGCTGGAGTTTGGACTATATCAAAGATGTTTTTTGTGCTGTTTTCTTAGCTTTGGATATGTTCAGATTATTTATCTATCGTTAATAAAGTTTTGACTCTTTAAACCACTTGGGATCTTTCATCAAACCAGTTTCATATTTTAAGATATTTTATCTATACATCCTGCTCACATCATAATCAATGTTAGCATTAATTCCTCTACGTTTCTAAAAACCTGTCCAGAAGAAAGAAGTGGAGGTTCATTTCAGCGAATATATTATAATAAGAAAATAGCAGAGAAGAGGCTAATTTTTCTTTTTTTTTTGAAGAGGCTAAATTTTGTGTTGGAAAAACTTGAATTCACAAAAGGCCTGGACAGTTAGGATGGATATGAGAAATAAGGCTAATATGATGTTTTCTGTCTTTCATCGGTTTGCACTTCAGTTTACAAAAAAAATAAGAACAAGAAATCTCAGCACATGGATCCCAAGGAGGAAATAAAGTAAAACAGACCAACTGACGAAGCAATGTGTGTTTACATTATAAGACATCAAACCGATACGTAATTTGACTAATGTATGCAATTACAATGGAAATATGAAGCCGCTTTTATTTTTTTGGAAAAAAATTCTTACGTCCATGCATGCAGAAGTATGTTGTTCTTGATTTGGATTTCATGTGTTCTCCTTTATATGATATTAATTTTTACGCATAGTGTTAAAATTCTTAAACAAAATGTTATACTATTTCTTCCAAAACAACAGCTAAGATTTTGCGAAATTTGATTTTAGACAAAATAAATAACAATATATATTTATATTATTACCATAAATTAACATATTTGGAACAAATATTAGAAACAAAATATTTGCAAAACTAATGTGAGAATTAAGATACAAGTGATAAAATTTTGTAATAGTCACAATCCGCACATCGCGCTGACTTAACCCTAGTTATATAAAATAAGATAAATATTTGCTGAAGTGGCAGAGAAAGGATATGTGAGGCTTCAAACCCCCACAGTTCGAACCCTTATGAATATAAATTTATACTTCTGAAACTTAAATGAGATCAGTAAATTTGGACTGGTCGGGTTAAATCGGGTAGAGATAAACATGTGATTTTTAAAAAAAAATAAATCATGGAAGCGAATATATGATATAATGATTGTATTATTGAGCATAAACACAAAGATCTTTATTACTCCTTCTGTCCCAAATTATAAGCAGTTTGGGATAAAAGTGGAAAATTAAGAAAAGTAAAATTTTAAAAGAAAATATCATTAGAAAATAAATTAAACATATTCTAACCAATTGGTGAATAAATGTGTATAATCTTATTGGGTACACAATATCCCATAAAGTAAAAGTGCATTGGTTACACAAAACTGCTTATATTGTGGGACAATTGTTTTTTCCAAAACAGCTTATAATATGGGACAGAGGGAGTAGTTTATAAGTGGCGGAATATAGTTTGAAATAGCCCCCCAAATCACGGTTTGATCCCGCTGAGGTACAAATCTATATTTATTTTTTATCAGGCCATTATTTTGGTATTGCCATGGCCCACGGTGTCGCCAATTCAGCATTCGCTAACGGTCAATGTCACAGTTAACTGTTTTGGTGGGATTGGCTTGGTTTTTATAGTTTGTGTAGTAACTATATGTTATCCTGGTATCTGTTAATACTAGGTTTTTGACCCGCGCACACGCGGGTCTGTTCTAATGAAATTTTAAACTGTTATATATTTTTTTTTACAAACGCTTCACTTTTTTTTTGCTGTTTTTTTTTATAAACTTTTCTTTGTAATATACTTTTTAATTATTTTTTTACTTAACCAATTTAATTATTTTATAATTAGTCATAATAAGTAAGGTACTTTTTAAAAACATATTTTCTGTAAAAAACATACAACAGCCTTATCCTCACATTTCTTAAATTAATCCCTTAATTTTACTATTCATTAGACACTTTTTAATTTTTTATATCCATTAAAGGTCATCGGCAACTTTTGTACAATCCAATATTAGTCTAATACATATTTTAGTTGTTAATTTCCTTTTTAATTTTATTTATTAGTTTAGCTTTTCCAGCTCTGAGTTTATGATTTATACTTAATTTATTTATCTATTTTTTTAGTTTAATTATTTTGCATTCAATTCCATTTAATAAATTCATCTCTTTATTTTTAAATCACTGTTTTGATAGTTAAAAAGTCTCATATATTCCAAACTTTTCTTTTTCGTATCCTGTTTAATTAATAACCGCGTTTCCAATTCCCGGTTCCATTGTTTTGGTTTTTTACGGTTCGGTTTTGCTATCACATTGAAATTAGAAATGATTCGTTGTTTTTCTTCATTTGCCGACAACAAAATCGAACAATGTTTCTACCTTATTCCCACCGGAACATTGTTAATCTCATCATCGAGATCCCTCTTCTTTGTTTCTCATCTTGGTTATTTGCCTTAATCCCTCTGAGCGATTGAGACTGTCAAAACTAATTTGATCAATTGATTGAGGGAACAGTTTCTGCTTTAATCCCTCTTCCGAGACTTTATTTCTCTGTTTCTTCTACTGATTCTCTCAAGCTAATCACTTCGTGAAAGGTTTGAATTTTCCCTATTTTGAAGCCAGTTTTGTTGATGTTGAGATTATGTGTTTAGCGTTTAATCTATTTCTTCCGATCCAAATTTGTGATAAATCTATAACTCTAGGTGATGCCAACTGCTCCGCCAAGTTCCAGAGACTCAGAGATGTCTAATTTTTCAAAATTTCGCCTTTCGATGGACGTTACTGGGGTAAAGCTAATGACTTTGCCTCTTCCATGAGCGAGTTTTCTTTTATCAATTTCCGAGTACTTGTCGGGTACTTGTTTCTCACCCAAGTGAATGTTTATTATCTAATTTATGATTTTGTTCTTTTCATTTTTGTGTTGACTAAGTATTTGCGAGTTCTTTAGTTGTCTAATGCTCTTGTTTTTTTATATATATTTGGTAGATTAAATTGCCTCTGTATCTTTCAAAAGTCCCTCAAGTCACCGAAGTTCCATGCTTTTCAAAAGATGGTGATGTCTACTTGCAATTCATATTCGCTGTGTTTAGCATTGATGATACGTTGGAAGTTAATAAGGTCGAGAGAGTAGCATATGATGATGTGAAAGTGATGTACTTGCATTTTGCATGGTTTTAGTACATCTTTTATGCATCTTTTGCATAGTTTTAGCATCCTTTAGCATCATATCTTGTTCCTTTTCTCTTCTTATGCATTCATAGTAGTTTTAGGTTGCATTTGCATACATATGCATGTTTGGTCCTTGAAATAGGTCTTTTGGAGCATAAGGGACGAGGAGCAAGGAAGGACTTGGTGCATGGACGCAGCTCAACTGGATACGCAAAGGAAGAAGGAGAAGCCATCTTGAAGACCAGCTCGACCACCTACTCGACCATCCAAAGCTTCAACTCGATCGAGCTGAGAAGTCAAAGTCAAACCCGAAAAATGTTGCTTCCCCCTTGACTTCCTTTGACCCTAAACCTAATCCCTTTGTATTTAAAGGCTCTAAGCCACGAAAAAACAACAAGCTTTAGATTATTTTTGTTTTAGCTTTCTTTAATTTATTGTCTTTACTTTTAGCAACTCTAATCATCTTTGTGTTCTTGAAGCTCTTGCTTCTTGAATCCTAGATCCTGGATTATCTGCTTTGTATTTGCACTTGCTTATTTCAATAAAAGTTGTTTATCTTTATCTCCTCTTTCATTTGATGTTTATTTCATTGCATTTGCTTGTGTTTACATTCATGTGTAGTGAGTAGTTACCCATTAGGGTTTGAGATGGGATAGATTAGGGTTTCATATGCTTAATCCTTCTTGCTTATGGTCTTAATCTAGATTCTCTCTCTTTTGGATAAATCTTAAGGCTACATGACCACTACCCCTGGCTTGTATGTCCATTAGGCGATTCTCCACATGGAAGTGATGGAAATCGCTGGAAAATATCCACTAAGAGCTCCAAAACTCTTGCTCTCGAAATGGAGTTCATAGGGGTTGGATGGATTAGTTTGGGCAATGATCCTATGGCCTCCAAGGTTTGATTCTCACTGGCTAACCCCCTGTTTCTGAGATCATTCCTTGGTTGATAGCTTTCACCTTGGGAAAGGGTTAGCTAGGCATTGAGAAGCCCAATATCAAGAGAACCTTGATACAAGGAGTTTTAAGAGCAAGATGATTAAGTGTAGCTTCCCTGATTGCAAAACCCTGTCTTGAACCCTAATTCTCGCATTAGCTTGTTAAAGTCGCTGCCTTTATTGCTTTTTACTCAACTCGACCCTAAACTCGATCGAGCTGGTACTCTGTTCCTACTCGACTCGAGTCCTTGGTCGAGCTACTTTGCTTTTACTGTTTCATTAGGTTGTTAGTGTTACCACTTATCATTACTGCTTGCTTGACTTCCTGGTTTTCATATTCTCATAGAGTGACAATTTCACCCATTTTGGATTGATACCCTTATACTATAATGACTATGATGGTTAAGGGAATTGTTGATTGTGTTTGTGTTTGCATCTACCACCTCATCTTATATACCACTGTTGCATTCCACCACATTTCATTCATATCTTTCACATCCACACACAAATCCTATCATCAATTTGGCGCCGTTGCCATTTGGGTTGAATTTGTTGCATTTGAGTTTCAAATACACTTGGACGATCAAGCTATACCACCCCTGTTCTTTGTATTGCTGGGTTTTTGATTCTTTTTGCAGGTGTATGCGAACTCGATCGAGTCGGTCAACAGAAGACTTGGTCGAGCTAGACTTCACACGGGTAGAAAGAGAAGTCAGAGGACTCAGAGGGTACAAGAGGAACCTGAGGTGCTTGTTACTGATACAATGGATGTACCAGAGGGGAATGGAAACCCTTTGGGCAATGGACTCGGTCGAGCTAGGCAAACTCGACCGATTGGTCTAGGAGATGCTCCAAACCGCCATCAACAGAGACAAGGGATTGTTCCACCACCAGTGCAGAACCACAACTTTGAGATCAAGCTGGGAATGATCAACCTTGTTCAGAACAAGATGTTCCATGGATTGCCAAGTGAAGACCCCATTGACCACCTTGATGAGTTTGATAGGCTTTGTGATTTGACAAAGATCAATGGTGTCTCTGAAGATGCCATCAAGCTGAGACTCTTTCCTATGTCTCTAGCTGACAAAGCTCACCAATGGGAGAAGAGCTTGCCCCATGGCACAATCACCACTTGGGATGAATGCAAGAAGGCCTTTCTTGCTAAGTTTTTCTCCACCGGTCGCACAGCCAAGCTTAGGAGTGAGATATCGAGCTTCATCAGAGCGAAACAATGAGACATTGCTGAGGCTTGGGAGAGGTTCAAAGAGCTACACAAGTCAGTGCCCACATCATGGATTCAACAATGAATCACTACTCTCCACTCTTTATAGAGGATGCTTGGCAAGGTATAGGGAGATGTTAGACACAGCCAGCAATGGGAACTTCCTCAATCAAGATGTGGATGATGGCTGGCAACTTGTGGAGAACATGCAAACTCCAATGGAAGCTATGGAGAAGAGTATGATCGCACCAATCGGAGCTCGACCCACCACTCGATCGAGTCAGATGAAAATTGAGAAAAGATGTTAATCGCATTGAATGAGAAGTTGGATAAGCTTATCTTAGCTCAGTCCACAATGAAGAAAGTCAATTTTGTGTCTGCTGAAGAGAT